TTTGATGTTTACAATTCAATGGCCAATAATTGTTTTTGTTACCTTTCGTTTTTTTTTGTTCGATTCACTTTAGAATTCAGTTAACTAACTCCGATTCGATCTTAAATATTTACTCTAACAGGGAGGTTTAATTAGCCAAAGTCAAATTAAGATTTTAACTATTTGGGAAATAGAGGTTTATTTTGAATGGATTAAATAAAGGAATTTAATACTGTTTCAGGACTTAAATTAAAAAAATATTTTTTCAGGGTCTAACAGAGGCGTGGCTTTTTTAACGAATATTTGTTCAGGGTCTAACAGAGGCGTGGATTTTTTAAAGAATATTTTTCAGAGTCTAACAGAGGCGTGGATTTTTTAAAGAATATTTTTCAGGGTCTAATAGAGGCGTGGATTTTTTAAAGAGTTTTGTTTTCAGGGTCTAACAGAGGCGTGGATTTTTTAAAGAATATTTTTTTCAGGGTCTAACAGAGGCGTGGATTTTTTAAAGAATATTTTTTAGGGTCTAACAGAGGCGTGGATTTTTTAAAGAATATTTTTTTCAGGGTCTAACAGAGGCGTGGATTTTTTAAAGAATATTTTTTCAGGGTCTAACAGAGGCGTGGATTTTTTAAAGAATATTTTTTTCAGGGTCTAACAGAGGCGTGGATTTTTTAAAGAATATTTTTTTCAGGGTCTAACAGAGGCGTGGATTTTTTAAAGAATATTTTTTTCAGGGTCTAACAGAGGCGTGGATTTTTTAAAGAATATTCTTTTCTGGCCCTAACAGATGCGTGGACTTTTTAAAGAATATTTTTTTCAGGGTCTAACAGAGGCGTGGCTTTTAAAAGAATATATTTTTAATGGTCTGACAGAGGCGTGGCTTTTAAAAGAATATTTGTTCAGGTTCTAACAGAGGCGTGGCTTTTAAAAGAATATTTTTTAGGGTCTACCAGAGGCGTGGATTTTTTAAAGAATATTTTTTTAGGGTCTACCAGAGGCGTGGATTTTTTAAAGAATATTTTTTTAGGGTCTAACAGAGCCGCGGATTTTTTAAAGAATATTTTTTTAGGGTCTAACAGAGCCGCGGATTTTTTAAAGAATATTTTTTTAGGGTCTACCAGAGGCGTGGATTTTTTAAAGAATATTTTTTTAGGGTCTACCAGAGGCGTGGATTTTTTAAAGAAAATTTTTTCAGTGTCTGCCTGAAGCGTGGATATTTTAAAGAGTATTTTTTAATACTTTTTAAAAAATCCAGATTCTATGAATGCCCGGACAAAATGTGTGTACAAAATTTAATATCCTTTAAATTATTGTTGATTTAATAATTTCAATAAAAAATTTAAATAAACACATACATATAAACAAAACCTACTTTAAATACAATCTATGCAAAATTCCCAGGGTAATAAAGAAATTCACAGTTGTTGTTGTTTTTTTCTGTTTTTGCTTTTCATTGGACAAAACAAAAAAACGTGCCTTTACACTAAATTAATTTTCAAACAACTCTAAAGCATAAAAAATCCAAATAATAGTAGCATAACAACCTACACACACACACACACAAACAAACAACCACATTAAAAACACTGCTTATGTGTGCCCCTAAGTGTATAGGTTCATACAGATGTGTGTGTGTGGGTGTGTGTTAGTGTATATTGACTAAAGAGGATTTAATTAGACGTTAGAAGAATACAATGAACAATATGGAATCCCCTTCCCCCGCTTTCGTTTTTCCGACTCTATGTATGTTTGTGTACAGGCTAGGTTCCATCCTCCTTCGGCGTTCAAAAAGGAAGGCATTAATATCCTGCAGGATACAATAAAATAAAAAAAAAAAATAGAAATTGTTGAGAAAAAATTTTTTTGCTCTGCTAGCAGAGCTCTAAAAACTCATTGGATACTATGGACTGGTACTGCTGCTACTGTATTCAATGCAATATAGCATCGTCGCTGTTGTTGTTGTTGCTGTCCTCGTCGTCCTCTACGTTGTCCTCATTGTCGACAATGGTGACGACGACCAGAATACCACCATGGGGACCCTATTTGCCAATGTTGGCTGTTACCATTTAACAAAACGAACATTATTCGCTTTTCCGCTCGGCCCCTCCCTGTCTCAGCCGGCATGCATGTGGTGGACCATGGGAACAGTTTAACAAGTCCATATTGCCATTCAAATTGCTATAAAACTTCATGCTGGATGTATTTGTGGATTATTAAATGCTGAAAGCAAAGAAAAAAAAAACAAATCCCATATTGAACATTGGGGAGGGGGTGGAACTGGAGCATCATCATATTAAAACTCACACCAGCCCAAGGAAAAAGGTAGGCCTCTTTATATAGAGCCTACCACTTCGAAGGGGGTGACTCAAATCAAACCAATACTCAGTCATCGTCGTCCTCGTCGCCATCATCATCACCATCGTCGTCGTCATCGTCATTGCCGTTCTCCAGCTATTCATTAATATTGAAGGGTTCTGTGTCGGTCTATAGAATGTGTAAGTGAATTCACATGCCACCGCTCTCTTTCTCTATATTCAGATTTCAAGGGTAAGTCTGTTATGAAAAAAAAGAAAAACAACGGCTTTTCAAATAAAGCAAAAATTGAGAAAACCGACAACAACAACGGCACAACATCAATAAATTAAACTTTGGTAGTTTTTTTTTTTCTTTTGTGGCATGCCACCAGCCAACAGACCAACCAACCAACCATCAACAGCAATCACAACAACAAATATGAGATTTTTCATTTTTTAATCATTAAACCCCAGGTCGGATATAAAAAGCAGAAAAAAAAAAGTAGAATGCAGGATACTTGCTGCATGTTTGAACAAGAAATTTAATAAGAAAAGAGAGGATGAAGGGAGAAAATTTCACATTAACCAGACCCAGACACAAGATGGGGTTTTTAAAGAATATTTTTTCAAGGCCTATATAAGAGGCGTGGTTTGGATTAAAGAATATTTGTTCAAGGCCTATATAAGAGGCGTGGTTTAAATTAAAGAATATTTTTTCAGGGCCTATATAAGAGGCGTGGTTTGGATTAAAGAATATTTTTTCAAGGCCTATATAAGAGGCGTGGATTTTTTAAAGAATATTTTTTCAAGGCCTATATAAGAGGCGTGGTTTGGATTAAAGAATATTTTTTCAAGGCCTATATAAGAGGCGTGGTTTGGATTAAAGAATATTTTTTCAAGGCCTATATAAGAGGCGTGGTTTGGATTAAAGAATATTTTTTCAAGGCCTATATAAGAGGCGTGGTTTGGATTAAAGAATATTTTTTCAAGGCCTATATAAGAGGCGTGGTTTGGATTAAAGAATATTTTTTCAAGGCCTATATAAGAGGCGTGGTTTGGATTAAAGAATATTTTTTCAAGGCCTATATAAGAGGCGTGGTTTGGATTAAAGAATATTTTTTCAAGGCCTATATAAGAGGCGTGGTTTGGATTAAAGAATATTTTTTCAAGGCCTATATAAGAGGCGTGGTTTGGATTAAAGAATATTTTTTCAAGGCCTATATAAGAGGCGTGGTTTGGATTAAAGAATATTTTTTCAAGGCCTATATAAGAGGCGTGGTTTGGATTAAGAATATTTTCAAGGCCTATATAAAGAATATTTTTTCAAGGCCTATATAAGAGGCGTGGTTTGGATTAATGAATATTTTTTCAAGGCCTATATAAGAGGCGTGGTTTGGATTAAAGAATATTTTTTCAAGGCCTATATAAGAGGCGTGGTTTGGATTAAAGAATATTTTTTCAAGGCCTATATAAGAGGCGTGGTTTGGATTAAAGAATATTTTTTCAAGGCCTATATAAGAGGCGTGGTTTGGATTAAAGAATATTTTTTTCAAGGCCTATATAAGAGGCGTGGTTTGGATTAAAGAATATTTTTTCAAGGCCTATTTATGCTTTTGCTAGATCTTGTGGAAGTCTCTCAGGAAACCTAGGGCGTATTAGTATTGTCATTACTCATACGCATGAATTCGAATGGACTGTAGGGTATAATTTAGTAGCATTAATGTCTAGAAAAAATTGATATAAAAAGCCTATTTTGGCTCTTGAAAGAATTTGTTTACCCTTTGTTTTAAAATTATGTTCTTCCACAAAAATTATTGCAAAGTTTGTTTTTAACATCTCCAGCAAATTGAAATTGTTGCCCCAAACCTCCAGCATTTGGCCACGTGTTACTCATCATAATTAATATTTCCCATTTTTCTCCGTCTCCTGATTTTTTTTGGAACATTTGTTGTTATTAAGACGAAAAACATTTCCGATGCCCTCTTTAAAATATCCATCCAAGACTTCCAAGGATAATTGCTGATGTTAAGGCGGCCTGCCTGCCTGGGGTGTTGGAACACAATAAGATATGACTATGCGGAAAAAAATATGAATTCAAAATGTTGAAATTTTAAGCATGAATTCCGGCTGTATTGCCAAACATCATTGCATTCGGAAAAAAAGTTCGAAAACAAAATGAGAATAAAAAGATGGAAAACAGAAAACAGTTTTTCCCCATTGTTTGGTCCTCCATGTTGTTAATGAATTAAACTTGACTTTCGGTTCGTTGAATCGTTTCGGGAGCTTTGTTATGGTTCTGAGGATCTGTTGTTTTCTGTACGGCTGTTGTTGTTTTTCTTCTTCTGGAAAAATATGATGGATTTATTTTGCTAAGAGAAATCTCTTTGCCCACACCAAATTTTATTCGATGCTAGGAACATTTTTTATTGTTAGTGGTTATGCCAAGGATATGTTGGGTGAATTGGTTTTCACTGCTCTGGCTGCCGATGTTTAAAGAAATTCATTAAAGAGTTTAAACAACATTTATTTTTATTGTATGGTTAAATTTGTGGATGGGGGCTAGTACCTCACCTACCATGTTCGGTGCTTTTAGTCGCAGCATTAAAAAAAACTTTTTTTGTTAAAACATTTGTCCGTTTTTATTAAGAAAGGTACCCACCAAAAAGTCAGATGATTCATTTTGCCGAGGCAGAGATTCTCAAAGTACAAAACCAATGGAGATCTTACGTGCGAATTTATTTTGCAGTTATCGAACCAGGTTGCGTATACGTTGTGACAATAGTCATACGCACCAAAGCTCTCCAGTGATAAACCTAAATTTATCCACGATTCACATTGCCCAGCAATTAACTCACAAACGACATTCGTCCACAATAACCATACCTGTAAAGAAAAAAGAGAAAAAGAAATTTATTAGTTAAAAAAAACTGACGTAGATTTTTTATTTTTTTTCAGAACTAGTTTCAACAAATACAAGACTGAGATAAAACGCGCAAAGAAGAAGTCTTGGATAAATTTCTATCAGTCGATAGAAGGTATCAGCGACGCTGCTAGATTTCGAAGACTACTATTCAAGGATCCGAAGTCCATCGGAAGTATCAAAAAGTAGGATGGAGCGTGGACGGACTCTGGATCTGAGACTCTTAATCTCCCTGCTTCAATTTGCCTCGCCAAGTATATATCTGATCCTTGAGAGGATCTATCCGGCGTGTTTGACTCTCTCCTATATTCCTCATCTATGGAACTAGGTAAAGTTTACTTACATTCCCAAAGCGGGGAAACCAAGCCACTCTGCACCAAAAGAACTATAGACCCATTAGCTTATCATCCATTCTCCTCAAGACTCTCGAAAGACTGATCGACCTGGAGATTAGGAGTCGTATAGACACAACCTCTCTCAGCAACTCACAACACACATACATAAAGGGCAAGTCTGTAGAATCTCCACTGCACGAGGTGGTAGGGTACGTTGAGAGGAATATGGAAAATTCTAATTTTACGCTGGCCGCCTTTCTAGATATAGAGGGTGCCTTTAACAAAGTTAAACTTGAATCCATAAACCATTCACTTAAAAAAGTTGGCATTCCTGACACCCTTACATATTGGAGGGCAAGTCTGTAGAATCTGCACTGTACGAGGTGGTAGGGTACATTGAAAGGAATATGGAAAATTCTAATTTTACGCTGGCCGCCTTTCTAGATATAGAGGGAGCCTTTAACAACGTTAAACTTGAATCCATAAACTATTCACTTTCAAGAAGTTGGCATTCCTGACACCCTTACATATTGGCTAGATATAAGGAAAACCGTAACTAGAGGCACACCTCAGGGAGGGGTGCTCTCGTCGTTGCTATGGCTATTGCCAATTAATAATATACTGATGGAACTGAACGGGAAAGATACCAAAGTTGTAGCTTATGCGGACGACGTGGTGATATTGATTTCCGGAAAATTTCCGTCAACTATCTCGGAGCTTATGCAAAGAGCCTTACTTACGCTGTCGCGTTGGTAATGTTCACTAGGAAGCGTAAGCTCGGAGAGGGCTGATTGCACTCTATGCATGCAAGAACTCCATTGGGAAAAGCTAGGGGCTAAAACCATCGACTATACACTGGTTGTATATCACTGTGGTAAGGCCCATCTTTTCCTATGGTTCTCTTGTTTGATGGCACTACTTGCGCCACAAGTCGACATCCAGTAAATTAGATACCGCCTCGATTCTAGTTACAGGAGCCAGGAGGAGTACGCCACAAGCAGCCCTGAACACAATGCTGATAAAAAGTCTGGATGCAGAGGTCCTTGAACCGGTGACTATCTTCGTTGATAGTCGGCTCTTAAAGCCATCAAATCTTGTTATATTAAATCTGAGGCAGTCCTCAAGTGTAGAGCAGCTTTGGAAGAACTTACTTGCAGCTATCGGTTGTGTTGGGTACCAGGACATTGAGCGGACGAACTAGCTAGACGAGGATCTCAATCCACAGATCTAGCAATTGATGACTCAATCAAACCACCCACATGTAATCTTTGCTGGAACTTTGAGGCGTTCTTCGACAAAAGAGCCTATGAACTCTGGCACAACGAACCTAGGTGCAACGTGTCAAGATCCATTTGGCCGATTCTGTCTACCAAAAGAACGCACTCACTGTTGAACCTGAGCAAAGCTGAAATAAGTGTAATGACAGGAATCATTACTGGTCACTGCAATACCAGGGCTTTAAATGGGATATTGATGCAATTGATTACTGTAGACTCTGCGGAGGAGAGAGACGGAGACAATTGAGCATCTTATGTGTCACTGTCCAGCCCTGGCTTACAGACGGCACAGGCTAGTAGGGTGCTCATTTTCTACAGAGTCTTAGCTTCTTCTCAACAACCGAACCTGCTCTAATCTACAGCATAATTAGAAACCTAAAGTGGTTGGGAAAGTGGAACCTTGACACGTAATATATCTTCTGTCTGATTTCTGTAGCCTTCGACTTTATTCCAATCTTACCTTTTTTATATCTTTCTGTAAGCTTCTCATCTCTCATTATTTCCCCAATCTTCCCTCCCCTATAGATCTGTCCTTATCTCTTTTCTTCTTGTGGATTATCACAACGGACCTAACGGTCTCAGAGTGCTGCAGCCAGATAAGTGACTGCACATCCCCAAACCTAAACTATATAGGCCTTGAAAAAATATTCTTTAAAAAATCCACGCCTTATATAGGCCTTGAAAAAATATTCTTTAAAAGAATCCACGCCTTATATAGGCCTTGAAAAAATATTCTTTAAAAGAATCCACGCCTTATATAGGCCTTGAAAAAATATTCTTTAAAAAATCCACGCCTTATATAGGCCTTGAAAAAATATTCTTTAAAAAATCCACGCCTTATATAGGCCTTGAAAAAATATTCTTTAAAAAATCCACGCCTCTTATATAGGCCTTGAAAAAATATTCTTAAAAAAATCCACGCCTCTTATATAGGCCTTGAAAAAATATTCTTTAAAAAATCCACGCCTCTTATATAGGCCTTGAAAAAATATTCTTTAAAAAATCCACGCCTTATACAGGCCTTGAAAAAATATTCTTTAAAGGAATCCACGCCTTATATAGGCCTTGAAAAAATATTCTTTAAAAAATCCACGCCTCTTATATAGGCCTTGATAAAATATTCTTTAAAAAATCCACGCCTCTTATATAGGCCTTGATAAAATATTCTTTAAAAGAATCCACGCCTCTTATATAGGCCTTGAAAAAATATTCTTTAAAAAATCCACGCCTTATATAGGCCTTGAAAATATATTCGTTAATTCAAACCACGCCTTATATAGGCCTTGAAAAAATATTCTTTAATTCAAACCACGCCTTATATAGGCCTTGAAAAAATATTCTTTAAAAAATCCACGCCTTATTTAGGCCTTGAAAATATATTCGTTAATTCGAACCACGCCTTATATAGGCCTTGAAAAAATATTCGTTAATTCAAACCACGCCTTATTTAGGCCTTGAAAAAATATTCTTTAAGAAATCCACGCCTTATGTAGGCCTTGAAAAAATATTCTTTAAGAAATCCACGCCTTATGTAGGCCTTGAAAAAATATTCTTTAAGAAATCCACGCCTTATGTAGGCCTTGAAAAAATATTCTTTAATTCAAACCACGCCTTATATAGGCCTTGAAAAAATATTCTTTAATCCAAAAAAACGCCTTATATAGGCCTTGAAAAAATATTCTTTAAAAATACACGCCTTACATAGGCCTTTAAAAAATAATATTTAAAAAATCAACGCCTCCGTGACGTGGAATAAATTGTCGCTTCTATTAGCCGCTAAGAAAGTATTTTTGTGGCGTATGAGTATTGTCGTTACTTATACGCATTAATATCCGAATTTATTTTCGCTTTAAGCCCTTTAAAAAATTTACAAAAAAGTTTCGGTACCCCTGCCTTTTTAATTTTTATGTTAATGCAGATATAATTTATTTTTTTCTTCTTCTTCATCGTTGCAATGGTTCTATTCTTCATTGCCGATGTTTTTGTTGTTGTTGACTACAACATCGTTATTTGCCGATGATGAACGGTGAGTGGACGACATAGGACAGAATGAATTTGCTAGATGGCTGGCTGGCTAGATGGATTGTTGGCTGGCTGGCTGCCTGCCTAGATGGGTGGTTCGGAAGGGCTAGAGTGTGAACATCACCACCACCGCCGTATGCCGGCTGCCTAGCTGGCATTTAATATGCTTTTGGGTTGCAATCTGAAGTAATGTTGCTATTAATATTGCTTATGTTGTTGTTGTTCTTATTACAATTATTATTATAATTTTCGTTGTTGTAATGTCGGTGCCAATGCTGCTGCTGGTGTGTTTGTTGTTGGTTCTGGTGCTGCTGATGTTTTGAGTTAAAAGTTCATTGACATTAAAAATTGAAAGAAAAAAGAAATGCTGAAAAATAAAAATACAATCATCAGCAGCAGCAATGATGACGACGAAAACGACGACGACACAGAGCCAGCGACAAAAATATTTTGATGACGATTACAATTGTTGTTGTTATAGCTGCTGCTTATGCTATGCTCTGGGCTGCCTGAGGGCACAACAGCAGCAACAACATTTTTGCAGGAGTTAACAATTGAGCCAAAAGCCAAAAGTGCGGAAAAGCGAACCAGAACAAAAGACACACTCCAACAAAGCACAACACCGAAGAAGAGAATAGAAAAACAAATGCAGCAGCAACAACAACAACACCAGAATTTCAAGAAAATAATAGCGGAATAAAGCGGAATACGAAAATGGATTTTTCCCATCACTTTAATTGGAAAAACATTGCAATAATTAGAGAAACACTTTCGCAAACGTTACAAATTGGGGACAGAGCAAAACAGCGCACAAAAAATAGGAAAAAAAAATAGAAGAAAATAATATAGGAAATCTGCACCAAGGGAATTGCATCGAAAATCAAAGGCGAAATGAGGCGCAATTAAATATTAATTAAGAGACATGCACACACAAGAAAAATCAGGAAGACGACACGATAAAGAAGACAAATGAGAAATGTTCAAATAGGAAAAAAATGTAATTGAATTCCAAAGGCTAGAGATTACATTAAACATCTGCACAATTTTCGATTTTAAATAAAAAATGGATATAGAATTGAATAATATTCGATTTTGAACCTTGAAGCGACAACAAATATGAAAACGAGCCATGAAATTAATGACTACTGTCAAACAAAATTAAGGCGTATAAGTAACGACAATAGTCATACGCCCTACAGGCCACCAACGAAAGGCGTGGATTTATTAAAGAATATTTTTCAAGGGCCAACTGAGGCGTGGATTTATTAAAGAATATTTTTCAAGGGCCAACTGAGGCGTGGATTTATTAAAGAATATTTTTCAAGGGCC